CGATAAAGTATTTATCCGGATTCGGAAAAAACGTATTTGTGTGGACGGCCCCTAAAACTGCTCTGTCACAAATGTGTCGCCTGAGGTGTTAATAGTTGTACTTGAACGCAGCACAGAGACGACATCTGACAGTCAGCTGACCGCAAACACGTTCCTAAACACCACGTTCCCAAACACCACGTTCCCAAACACCAGGTCTCAAACACCAGGAACTTAAACACCAGGACCTCTAACACCTGGACCCCAAACACCACAACCTCAAACACCTGGACCTCCAACACCTGTACCTCAAACAACAGGACCTCAAACACCAGGACCTCAAACACCTGGACTTAAAACACCAGGACAACAAACAACACAACCTCAACCACCAGGACAACAAAGAACAGGAAAACAAACACCTGGACCTCAACCCAAGGTCATTATTAATGAAGCGACATTAATGAGAAAAAGTGACTGAATCCATAAACTCTAATCTGGAGGACTGATAATTAAACATTATAATAAAATATTATCTTTTCTCTGAAGAACAACAAGGTTGTTAAACTGTCTTTTATATTGATTATTGATTATTGTAGGTGATGAGTTTTATGTACATTAGATGACAAACTCATCAGAGGAGTTCCTCAGGGATCCATTCTCTGGCTTTTTATTTTTAATAATTTATAACGACTTCTGACTCCGATTTATTTATTTATTTATTTGTTTGATTGTTTGTTAGTTTACTTATGCAACAAATTAAGATTTTACTTAATCACAGAATCTGTGAACTTTGGTTTCAGTTTATGAAATGTGTTCGTCAGCAGAGGATGAAGATCAGAAGATCAAAAGCTCAGAGAGAATCCAGGATGTGGACCTTAAAACAGGAAGTGACCTTAAGAAATTATATTTATGTTTTCAGATCAATGTGAGAATATTTGTTCACTGATGCAGATTAATTATTACTGACAACCAATCAATAATCTGTAATATTGATAACCGATCAGATCTAATCAGAAACAGAAACCTCATCAGTCCAACCAAAGCAGAGCTGAATCAATACATCGATTGGTGATTTATTGATCAGTTTAAGTTATTTAATAATATCAGTAACTCTGATAAACATGTTTTATTGGCTAATCAATCAACCAATGGAGAAAATAATCGATTAATGACAGTAATGGATCTGTCAGTTATTGATAATCTATATTTACATTGTGAAGACCAGCTTCACCTCTGACCTCTGACCTCACAGAGCACACCTGAGTGCAGACTGAGGTCATAGAGGTCAGAGGTCACAGACAGTCAGGACCTACCAGCTGTTTCCGGAGCAGGAGGATGTTCTCCTCCAGGAGCTTCTCCCTCCGCAGCTCCTCCTCCTCCTCCTCCTCCTCCTGCCGGAGCTCCAGCGCCGCTCGGACCAGCACCTCCTGCCGCTGCCGCAGGTACTCCAGCTCCCCCAGTCCGGACACGGTGGCCTCCAGCCGCTCCCGGGCGGCGGCGGAGAGCGGCATGTCCTCCGTCAGAGCGTCCGGTGTGAGCTCAGGGTCTCAGCAGCACCGGGGTCCGGGTCTGCATTGTAAGGACCGGATCAGAACACCTGGAGACTCACCTGGTTCAATCACCCGCTCACACCGAGCCGTTAACTCAACCCGGGTTAATAAACCGGGTTATAATAAACCGGATTAAACGAAGTGGATCCAGACTCAGGTCCTCAGACTCGTCTCTGAAGCTCCGGGATCAACCGGTGGTCTAACGGTCCTGCTGCGGACACACAGGTCAAATTAATCCGATAAATGAGCCCCGGGTCCGCTCAGGTGAACGTCCAGGTGACTCCCAGCATGCCCCGGGGCCTCAGCGCTAAGTGGATCCGACAGAACGAAGCGGACAGTCGGCCTGAAGTCCGTCCTGCTGCCGCTCCTTCCGAAGCTCCGTCCGCACTGACCCACGGCGGCACCGAGGCCGGTAAGCCCCGCCCCCTCCACGCTGACAGACACACCGAGCTGTGTGACTTCAGCAACAACGAACACAGGTAGTTCCTGTAGGCGCCTCCAAAATAAAATACGTTGATGAAATAAAAGAAAACATTTAAACTTAAACATTAAAAATAAGATAAAATGTAAATTTATCATCATGAAGCTGAAAAAGAAGTCATTATTGTCAACAATTTGAGGTTTTACACTATTATTATTCTGTTATTCCTGTAATTATTCAATCATTCTTTATAATTATCTATAACTTTTGCAACACCACAATCTTAAACTCATTACTATTTAATCTCTGTCAGCAACTAACCCATTGTATATAGGCTCTTATTCTATTTCTATTTTTAGTTTTACTATTTACTTATATGTATATACCCATACATACATTTCTATTCTGTATATTGTGTTAGATATTTTAATATAAGTATTATTTCTATTCTTTAACATTGTGTGAGCATCTTAAACAACTGTAACAAACAAATTTCCCTCTGATTCTGATTACTG